CAAGTGAAGCCATGCCCTAAGTCTTGACCCTTCCTCGGTCCTCTGAGGGCTTGTCTTCACTACAGTGAAGTCAAGTTATACCACAAATGCTGTCCCTAACTCAAGTCCTGTCCACACACAAAACTCCTTAACTCAAGTATGATTATGCTTTTAACTCAAGTTGGCTGGCCCATCAAAGGGTACTGGTTAAACCCGGAGACAGCACAATGCACCAGCTGCTAACAGGACTACCTGTGCAGCTCAAATGTTATTTTACAATGTGATCGCTCATGCCTGAGGTAGGCTAACTCAAGGGGCGTGAACTCGAGTGTAGATAACTTGATTTAGTTTAGTTCATAATTCATTATACTTCATGGGCCAGATCCTCAGCTGAAGTAAATTGAAGTCAATAGAGTTATGTTGATTTATACTAGCTAGCAGGGCCAACTCTACTGTTTTTGCCGCCCCAAGCAGCGCGCCGAATTGCCGCCACGGACAGCAGGGGCAGTCTGTGTGCCATTAGGGCAGCACACGCGTTTCTGCGGCGGCAGCAATTCGGCAGCAGCTTCTGTCTTCAGCCGGAAGACAGAAGCCGCCGAATTGCCGCCGCGGGCAGCTGAACATAGAAGCTGCCGCCGAATTGCCGCCGCCGCGGAAACGCGCATGCCGCCCTAACGGCACACGGACTGCCCCCGCTGTCTGCGGCGGCAATTCGGCGCGCTGCTTGAGGTGGCAAAAACACACGGACTGCCGCCCCTTGCAGATTTCCGCCCCAAGCACCTGCTTGGAATGCTGGTGCCTGGAGCCGGCCCTGCTAGCTAGGGTGATCACTTGTCCCTAATTAGGCAGGACAGTCCTGAAATGTACATTTCAAGTCCCAATCCCAGGCTGAATGACTCCGGGATAACATTTGTCCTGAATTCCCTGCAGCACCATTCCGCGCCTGCCTGAGGCTCAGTGGTGGTGCCAGCCTCTTCCCAGCGCGGGGGTGGAGGTATGGGGCTGACACCCCACCCCTGGCCAGGCCAGAAGCAGGAGCTGGGCAGAAGTTAGAGCCACCCAGAGATCCTAGGCTGCTGTGGAGAGACTCAGACCCTCCACCTGTCTTAGGCGGCACAGCCGGGGGGCAGGGACATGGGCCATGTGCTGCTCTTGGACAGGTGGAGGGTCTGGGGCTCCCCATAGCAACCCAGGCTCCATGGGTGTCTCTTACTGCTGCCTGGCTCCAGCTTCTGGCCTGGCCAGGGGGCGGGGCCTCAGGAGGAAAAGGAGAAGCAAGAGGCAAGGTCACTGAGGGAGCGGGGCTCCTGCATGTGTCCCATTTTTGCATTTTGAAAAGGTGGTCACCCTGATATTACCAGTTGAGGTCTGTCTCTGTTATCTCTGTGGGTCTGGCCGCAGCTATAAGTTCTCTTCATATTCTCCTGGACACCTAACAGACTATGGCCTACGTTTTTCAAAGTGGCCTCTGATTTTGGGAGATTCAATTCAATTTTCAGGAGCCCAACCTAAGACATTTTCAAAAATCAGCAGCCACTTTTGAAAATTTAGGGTTATCACTAAAAACTTAAACAACATGGAGTCCTTGTGGCACCTTAGAGACTAACAAATTTATTTGGGCATAAGCTTTCATGGGCTAAAACCCACTTCATCAGATGCGTGGAGTGAAAAATACAGTAGACAGGTATATATATTACAGCACATGAAAAGATGGGAGTTACCTTACCAAGTGGAGGGTCAGTGCTAATGAGACCAATTAATAAATAAAATAAAATAAAATAAAATAATAAATAAATAATAGGGCACATCCACCCTGTTTGAATTGGCCTCGTTAGCACTGACCCCCTACTTGGTAAGGTAACTCCCATCTTTTCATGTGCTGTAATATATATACCTGTCTACTGTATTTTTCACTCCACGCATCTGATGAAGTGGGTTTTAGCCCATGAAAGCTTATGCCCAAATACATTTGTTAGTTTCTAAGGTGCCACCAGGACTCCTTGTAGTTTTTGCTGATACAGACTAACATGGCTACCCCTCTGAAACCTGTCAATAAAAACTTAATGACTTAATGAAAAGGCAGCATTGCCCAATGAACTCCAGATCACCAACATCATTTATGATCACATCTTTATGGAACTTTAAACTGCTGTATCATTTTAAAAATTATTAAAACTTTGCATGAACCTATTATTTAAAGATTGCAAGGTGCTTTACACATTAATTAAACCTCAGTCATAACAGCCTTGAGAGGTATCAAGTACTGTATTATTATCCCCATTTTACATGTTAGTAAAGAGAGGCAGAGGGGTTAGCCACAAATTTTCAAATGCGGCCTCTAAATATGGGTGCCTCCATTTTCAGGTGCCCAGTTTTAGAAAATAAAAGTACAATATAATCCAATGTCTGGAAGTAGAAGCTAGACAAATTCAGACTGGAAATAAGGTATACATTAAAATTTTAACAGAGAGTAATTAACCACTAGAACAATTTACTAAGGATTGTGGTGGATTCTGGATCACTGGCAACTTTTAAATCAGACTGGATGTTTTTCTAGATGCTAAGTTCTAGGCATTATTTTGGGAAAGGTCTGTGGCCTGTGTTATACAGGAGGTCAGACTAGATGATCACAGTGGTCTCTTCTGGCCTTGGAATCTATGAATCTACCTTAAGTGTCTTGAATTGGGATCCTGAAAATTGAGTCATCCAAAATAAAAAGCCACTTTTGGAAATCTGGCCCTAAGTGCCTTGTCCAAAATAACACAGTGAGTCAGTGGCATAGTGAGAAATAGATCCCAGTTCCCTGCTTTATTCACTAGATGCCACTCCTCTGTTGTTGTTGTTTTTTTAAATTAAGTGTCTGATCCAATTTCCACTGAAGTGAATGGAAAGACTTCCAGAAGTCTTGGATCAAGTTCACAGAGCCAGATTCTGCCCTGATTTACACATTGATTTTGATGGGGTTATCTGGGGTGTTAGCCAAGACAGAATATGGACTAGACAGTAGTCATTGAGTACAATGGTTAGCTACATATGCTCAAGCTTGTAGGAATATCTAGGAGAGGTGATTACTGAAGGCTTCATGGGAGAAGCAGTGCATTATAAGGATGAATTTGAAGAAAGAGAGGGGATTTGGAACTCAGGAAGAGGCGTGCATGTTTTCCCCCTGAAACCAGGCAAAACTGGGTATTTCTTCTGTGTATTGCTTTTAGTTCTTCAGTTCAGTGCACCCAAGTGAACAACAAATTCAAAGTGAAACTCAGGGGTGGTAAACACATATGAAACAAAGCCAGAAAAAAGTGTTGCATTGAAATCCTGCAAATTGAAAGCTTAAAGTTTTGCATAACTCTAATTATGAGAGGAAACTACCTGTCAAACAATTTTGCTTACAGCAAGGTGTACAAGCAACCCTTGGCCATGGGTCAGAGTTCACCAGATAGTACCATCTCCAAAATATTTTCAAGCTTGCACAATGTTGTCTCAGCAACACTTCTGTGTAATTAAGTAAAATGAGTTTTGAGACAAAGCAAGTGGACACATAGTCACATAACAGATCTTTGGATAAACATTTGGTTGTATTGAGTCTAGCTCATAGAAACCCATGTCAACCCTTCCCCTACCCCCTCCCTTTTTCTCTAACTACTCACCTTGGCTTTTGCAAACAACCATTGGCTGTGCAAACAACTGAAGGTTTCAGTGAGATCACACAGCAGGCAACATACTGTTAATGGATAAATATGTGGCTTGCTTCCCAAGGTCTGTCTCCTAGTTGTATCATTGCTGCCTGTTGAACCATTGCTGTAAGAGTAGATTGGGCTAGCCATTTCTCACCATAAGCCAGGCTTTGTACATTGTCTGAGTGGAGAAGAGAATGGAGATAGGTGCATAAGGGTATGGGAAGGGATACAAAAAGGAAGAGTATGAGGAAGAGAGGGAAAAAAGGAGAGCAGTTTGAAAGAATATAATGGAGGCAGGTACATTAAAGGTGAAAGAAGGACCAATTATTTCAAAAGTTATGAAGTTGTTACAAGCACATGTACATTCAGATAACTCTATATCAGTTTAACAATAACAATATTAATGGAAGCCAAGACATCTTTATAAGAAAGAGATTATAGCACACACACTTATAAAGAGGGTAGAGTGCATGTTTAAAACCTAGTCTGAAAGTCCTTTTATTCCATGTATTAGGATTCATGTTCATTCTTAATTTAAACAAAGTAGTTTGCTGTGTTATATTGTTTTATTGCATATATTATTGCCGTTTCTGGTAGCACCTACACACTTTCCAAACAGAGAAGACATGATCCCTTCTGTGAAGAACTCACAATCATTTCCCTTTATGTTAGAACATGAGGTGGGTTTGTCCCCCAGATCTGGGGGGAGGCAATGGCAGACCCTTCCCCAGGAAAAAACAGCCCCTCACTTCCCCAGAGTTGAAGAAATACCTGAACAATAGAAGATCATCATAAGATTGGAAAAACCAAAGTGTTTGTGATGATGCCAACACTAGAACAAATTCTGCTTTCAGTAATACTAGTGTCAACCTGGAGTAATGCTTCTGACTTCACTCCAGATTTATACCGGTATAAATGACAGCAGAATTTGGTTGTTTAAATATAATGTAAACAACTAAGAGGACCTGTTGTAGTTAGTACACCATCTCTACATTAATAATAGAACAGAGCTATTAAAGGAGTAAGTGGACAATCAAATATGCCCTGCAAGACAGAATGATGGCATAATTTGGTTCCAAATCACACATTATACTATACAAGGTAATATTACAACTGGTATTCTGATTCTTAATATGGTGTATATATATATATTTGTATATGTTTACATTTCCTTTCTCATTACTTGTGCCACTGAGCGTAACTGGAAAATTAATAAAGAGTTTATGGTAAAAAACATACAGCACTGATGTACAGTTGATCAATATAACCGGGGACATTGATCAGTGGAACAGAGCAATGCTTTCATTGCCTTAAAAATCAATACTGGAGGGTGACAAACAGACACACACACATATATGTACTCAGTTTGGTTACCAGCCACTCCACAGACAAAGTTCAGGTTTTTTTCTAAATAGTTTAAAGCAAATTCTTGGTTTGTTTAGGGCAAATTAATCACTCCAGAAAGTTTGAAGGAAGTCAGCCAAAGACTAACACAGACAGACTTTTGGTCGGGCGATTGGAAGCATAAACAGCCATCCTGCTGTCTTTGAACCATCCTATGCTATGTTTTTGTTTTGACCAGCACAGGAAGGTAAGTTGATCTATCTCGGTTTAATGGGGCAGATCCTCAGTTGATGTAATTAGAGTTCTGGAGCTAGTTTTCTAGGAGCTGTGACAATTTACATCAGCAAAGGATCTGCCCCCATGTATTTAACAGCCTTTCTCTTTGAGCACAAAGGGTATGGAAGAGGAACAACAATAAAACAGGGGTTCTGTATTCAAACTGAACCTTTTATTTGCTTTTAAGAAGCCTTAAAGGGAATGTGTTGCTTATTGCTCTTCATTTGGTAGTGAAGAAAAGAGGGAAATAATCAGTATTTATAGAACTGTTTGGGTTTTTTGGAACGTCGCCATTTTGATTCTGTATTATGTCCAAACTAATTGGCAAAGTACCATTTCTTAAGGCAAATGTTAAAAAGGCAATTTCATGTGTCACAATCTAGCTTGGGATTTTTACAATGCTGTTTTTCTTTGGTGTTTCTATTGAATACTCTACATATTATTAACTAACCTTCTGAAAAAATAAAGATCACTACCTTCAGACCCAGACTGTGAGCTGGATTCAGTCACTCTGACTCATGCAGAGCAATGCTTTCTGTAGTACCATCAATGGGATTACAGACCCAAAGAGATCCATTTTAGAAATGAGAAATGCACTCCTATCGGCTCCTCATTTTACATTACAATAAAACCTGACTAATTCTCACTTCACTAATCCTCAAAACCTCATTGTCTTCACCAAAGAACTAGCCTTCTCTACTGCCCTCTCAGCAAAGATCGATAGTAGGTGCTGTAATAGTCTCACATGCCTGAGATTTCATTACTTACACAATGCACTCCTGCATATTTCCTGTTATAGTATGCTATTTATCAGAAATAAATAAATCTAAAGAACAAAGACATTTTTGATGCATTAAGCCAGACTTTTATTTGGTTGCTTCTTGCTTTCACAATAGATCTCCCAGTTACTAGTGAAAATGAGTGAGGTGCTATTGTTTACTTTATCATTGGAAAATATGCATTGCATTGCATTAGCACACGTATATTTGCTCTGTGCTTTTTATGACTTAAGTTCTTTCTTTCTTCCCTTTCTTTGGTCTTTGAGCACTTCTGTTCTAGACATCCAAGATGAAAATCTGGCCCTACTGACGTCAATGGGAGTTTTACCATTGATTTAAGTGGGGTAATGATTTCACCCTCCCATTTTTTGAGCCAGTTTTGTCACTTACAGACCATATGCAACAGCACATTATTTCTGTTATCTCACGTAAAAAGTTTCTTGCACATTGAACACCAGATCCACAGCTGGCTGTAAGTTGGCGTCGCTTCATTAAAATCAATGATGAGTACTATAGATAATAGCAGCATAGGAGACTGTCATTTTAGCAGTGTAGTGGGAGGGTAGGTACAGGCAGTCAGGATTGTAGGAGGCTAATCCTGTGCTGGACATGAGGGCTGCTGATGGGTCTAGCCAACACATGACATCACTACCCTATACTAGACCAGGGATAGCTAGAATTAAGAAACTGAGGTTGCTGTGCAAGAGAGAGAAAGAAGAGACGTAAAGGTAAAAAAAGGGTAGGGAGTGGCAACTGATTGATATGCCTATCTAGAAAATAATCTATACTGGTCTGAACACAAGATCCTCTTTAAGAAGCTTACACCTGGACTGAGTTAGTCATGAATCTGGTTGCTGTTTCGAATCTTTATGCAACAAGCACAGGTGACGTGGGCCATATAAATGCATGAATGGATGGATGGATGGATGGATACCATAGAATCGTAGGACTGGAAGAGACCTTGAGAGGCATCTAGTCCACTCCCCTGCACTTATAGCAGGACTAAGTATTATCTAGACCATTCCCGACAGGTATTTGTCTAACCTGCTCTTAAAAATCTCCAACGATGGAGATTCCACAACCTCCCTAGGCAATTTATTTCAGTGCTTAACCACCCTAACAGGAAGTTTTTCCTAATGTCCAACCTAAACCACCCTTGCTGAAATTTAAGCCCATTGCTTCTTGGCCTTCAGAGGTTAAGGAGAATAATTTTTCTCCCTCCTTCTTGTAACAACCTTTTAGGTACTTGAAAACTGTTATGTCCCCTCTCAGTCTTCTCTTCTTCAAACTAAACAAACCCAATTTTTTCAATCTTCCTTCAGAGGTCATGTTTTCTAGATGCTTAATCATTTTTGTTGCTCTTCTCTGGACTTTCTCCAATTTTTCCACATCTTTCCTGAAATGTGGCACCAGAAGTGAACACAATACTCCAGTTGAGGCCTAATCAGTGAAGAGTAGAGTGGAAGAATTACATCTCGTGGTTTGCTTACAACACTCCTGCTAATACATCCAAAAATGATGTTTGGTTATTTTGCAACGGTGTTACATTGTTGACTCATATTTAGTTTGTGATCCACTATGAGCCCCAGAATCCTTTCTGCAGTACTCCTTCCTAAGCAATCATTTCCCATTTTGTATGTGTGCAACTGATTGTTCCTTCCTAAGTGGAGTACTTTGTATTTGTTCTTATTGAATTTCATCCTATTTTCTTGTTTCCGGACCATTTATTCAGTTTGTCCAGATCATTTTGAATTTTAACCTCCAAAGCACTTGCAACCCCTCCCAGCTTGGTATTGTCTGCAAACTTTATAAGTGTACTCTCTATACCATTATCTAAATCATTGATGAAGACATTGAGCAGAACTGGACCCAAAACTGATCCCTGTGGGACCCCACTTGATATGCCCTTCCAGCTTGACTGTGAACCACTGGTAACTAGTCTCTGGCAATGGCTTTCTACTTTATAATTACTCCATCTAGGTTACATTTCCTTAGTTTGTTTATGAGAAGGTCATGCAACACAGCATCAAAATCCTTGCTAAAGTCAAGATATACCACATCTACCGCTTCCTCCCTCTCCACAAGGCTTGTCACCCTCTTGTCTGTGTTAAACATTTTTAACATGACATTGGAAATGACACAACTGCCATTTGTAAGGACAAATCTTGGCCCTGTGGTGTGCTTCACTGAAGGAAGCAGTAGCTCCTGACCTTCCTATCTTGGATGCACACTGACCTGACCGATCCTGAGTATGAGACCCAACGCACAGTGGGGCACTCACTCCAACACTGGTAAACTGTCACGGTTCACAGGGGCCAGGAACCCCCTAACAGTCCTTTGTGGATCCTGACCTGCTCTTCTACCCAATCCTCACTGAGACCACATAGGTTATTAATTAAAGCTGTAGGATGCCATCACCTTTTACAGGTCTTGCCTAACACTTACTGTGTTATGTGGGGTTTGGGGTGTAGCAGGAAGGCTAAGTCCCCCTCCCTTCATGACTGGGTTTGGAGGAGTAGTTTTACCACAGTGGAGCCCATCCTCTCCCTGAGTGAGATCATTTTATGGGCCATGCACTCTGTTCAGTTCTCCCTGGCTGTCAGTCAGCCATGGGGAAGACTGTCCTTCCCCTACCCCGAGGATATTGGGGAGCTCATATACGGCAGTTTGAAGCCAGAGTCACAGACTCTGCCTGCGTGGAGTGAGGGGGCTTTGCACTCAGAGGGGGGCTCCTAAACCCTTAGAAATCACAGATGTGACTGTGGAGCAGGCCTAGGCAACTAGTAAAAATATTGTTTGAGCAGGGGATGGGCTGCAGAACACTAGAAGCCACCGGAGTACAGACTGGAAAGGTTTCATATCGCTGGCATTTCCCATTACAATATTCCAGTTAAAAATAACCTAGCTCTCGTATAGATCTCAAGGCACTTCACACAGGAGGTGAGTATCATTATCAACATTTTACAGATGGGGAAACTCAGGCAAAGGGAGGTAAAATGGCTTGCCCAAGACCACCCTGCTGTCCAATGACAGAGCTAAGAATAAAAGTCAGGCCTCTTGAGTCCTTGGTGGTGCGCTATACATTAGGCCACGGTGCCTCCCACTATGTATACCTATTTTATTATTTCAGTGATTTGTGCTGTGTGACAAATAACAAATCAAACACACTTGCTAATGCAGGTGTGAAGCAGCAGCAGCAGCACCACTACCACAACGCTGTCAGAGTGCTATCGCCCAGGCAGAAGGAAGCAGAAGATATAAGATGGTCAGTCAAGTGCCACCTCTCAGCACTACAGTTGCTCTAGGGGCAGGGATTATCAGAGAGCAGGGAGCTCTCAGATATTTGGTGGTTGTTAGTGGGCTGGGCTGGTGCAAGTCCAACCATGGCCTGTTACTTACAGTGTTTTATGTGTATATTTTACCAATAATTTGATATCACATTTTCTATCAAATCAAGTACCTGGCCATGCTCCCCTTCCCTCAGTGTGTCTCTTCTCTCAGTCTAATTTGTCTGTGTTTAACATTTATTTTAAAATTTCATGGCATTATTTTTCTCTGAGCCCATCTCTTGTGTTCCTTCAAGGCCTTTCTTTGCCCTCTGTGCCCCCACTTTCTCCTGCCAACCCCTGTGTAGAATTTCCCTTCAATATTCTCACTCTCTCCTACTTGGGACTGTGCTCTTGCTTCCCTCCCACACACTGCACACACACACACACACACACACACACACACACACACACACACACACACACACACAC